GGGCGGGGTCAGGGTGGGGAGGAGATGATTGGTGGGGAGGGAGGGGTGGGTGGGGCTGGTGGCTCAGCCCCCTGGGCGTGTCCTGCAGTGGCCACGCCCCCGGGTGTGTCCACATTGGCCACGCCCCCCGAAATGTCCCGTTGGCCACGCCCCACTCTGACCACACCTGTGGGCGTGTCCACGTTGACCACACCCCTGGAATGTGCTATTGGCCACGCCCTTGGGCGTGTCCTTTCCCGGCCCCGCCCCCAGGCTGCTCCTGGCTCACCCCCTGGGCGTGTCCATTGTTAACCCCGCCCCATGGGCGTGTCCTTTCCCGGCCCCGCCCCCAGGCTGCTCCTGGCTCACACCCTGGGTGTGGTTTTTGTTAACCCCGCCCCCTGGGTGTGTCCTTTCCCGGCCCCGCCCCCAGGCTGCTCCTGGCTCACACCCTGGGTGTGGTTTTTGTTAACCCCACCCCCTGGGTGTGTCCCATTCTGGCCCCGCCCCCAGGCTGCTCCTGGCTCACACCCTGGGCGTGTCCATTGTTAACCCCGCCCCGTGGGCGTGTCCTTTCCCGGCCCCGCCCCCAGGCTGCTCCTGGCTCACACCCTGGGCGTGTCCATCATTAACCCCGCCCCCTGGGCGTGTCCCATTCTGGCCCCGCCCCCAGGCTGCTCCTGGCTCACACCCTGGGCCGCCGGATGCTGTTCCCGGGCTCCGTGCGGCTGCTGCAGCGAGCGCTGCTGCCCGCCCTGCTCCAGGGGCAGGCTCGCCTCGTTGAGCAGGTGAGAGACCCCAAAATATCCTGAATGTACCCTAAAATATCCTGAAATTATCATAAAATTATCATAAAGTTATCATAAAATATCCCTGAGTTATCATAACATATCCCGCCCCCTGGGCGTGTCCCATTCTGGCCCCGCCCCCAGGCTGCTCCTGGCTCACACCCTGGGCCGCCGGATGCTGTTCCCGGGCTCCGTGCGGCTGCTGCAGCGAGCGCTGCTGCCCGCCCTGCTGCAGGGGCAGGCTCGCCTCGTTGAGCAGGTGAGAGACCCCAAAATATCCTGAATGTACCCTAAAATATCCTGAAATTATCATAAAATTATCATAAAGTTATCATAACATATCCCCGCCCTGCTCCAGGGGCAGGCTCGCCTCGTTGAGCAGGTGAGAACCTTAAAAATAATCTGAATTTATCCTAAAATAATCCTAAATTATCATAAAATTATCATAAAGTATCATAAACGTGTCATAAAATATCCCTGAGCTATCCCCGAGCTGTCCCCCCCCAGCCCTGCCCTGCTCCAGGGGCAGGCTCGCCTCGTTGAGCAGGTGAGAGACCCCAAAACGTCCTGAAATTATCCTGAATTTATCCTAAAAATACCTTAAATGTACCCCAAAATATCCTGAATTTACCCTAAAACATCCTGAAATCATCCTAAAATATCATAAATGTAGCTTAAAGCATCCTAAAATAGCTTATAAGTATTTTAAAGTTTTCTAAACTTGTTTTAAAATATCCTAAAATATTCTGAATGTACACTAAAATATCCTAAAGTATTCCAAAATATTGTAAATATAAGGTAAAATATTCTAAGATATTGTAAATGTAAGGTAAAATATCCCAAAATATTGTAAGTGTAAGGTAAAATATCCCAAAATATTGTAAATATAAGGTAAAATATTCTAAAATATTGTAAATATAAGGTAAAATATTCTAAAATATTGCAAGTGTATCCTAAAGCGTTCTAAAATTATTCTGCGATATCCTAAAATATCCTAAATGTATCCCAAAATACCCTTGAGTTTGTTGTGGATCCTGAAATAACCCCGGAGTCACCTCTGGCCCCCCAAAATCCCCCCAGAATTACCCCAAATCCCAAACTCCCCCCAGAATCCCCCGAAATGACCCCAAAGTCTCCCCAGCGACCCCAAATCACCCCAGAACGACCCCAAACTCCCCCCGGAATTCCCCAGCAGACCCCAAAGAACCCCAGAGTTACCCCAAAATGCCCCCAGACCCCATTTCCCCCAT